GCCTCCGACGCCGTGCTCTGGCCACAGCGTGAACGGTCGTTCATTGTCCATGGGTGCGTGGCTGAAGTGGGGATCCGTGGTGAGGATTATGCTTGATGCTTGTTGTCGTCGTTCTCATTACCCGCGACCCACCCGCGACCCACCCCGCGACCCACCCCGCGACCCACCCCGCGACCCACCCCGCGACCCACCCCGCGACCCACCCCGCGACCCACCACGCGACCCACCCGCGACCCACCCCGCAACCCACCCCGCGACGCACCCCGCGACCCACCACGCGACCCACCACGCGACCCACCCGCGACCCACCCGCAACCCAACCCGCGACCCACCCACGACCCACTTGCGACCCACCCGCGACCCACCCCGCGACCCACCCGCGACCCACCCGCGACCAACCCTCGACCCACCCGCGACCCACCAGCGACCCACCCGCGACCCGCCCGCGACCTACCCACCTTGGTTTAACGAAAAAATCGGCGCCTGCGGCGGGCTCGTTGTATAATTTGTAAACTTGGGCGCCTGCGGCGGGCTTCTCCAGAGTTTCGCAGACTGTCGACGTCCCCACCGCCCCCTCACTCTTATCCGCATCTGCGAAGTGCTACGTATACATCGGTGATTTCTGAGATGCGGCAATTCTGGAGGATGTGCATCGAGCGCCGCGGTCTTCCCTGAGCGTTCCGTAGCGCTCTGAGAGTGTTCCGGAAAGCTCTGCAACGGTTTTACCTGATTCTATCCCTGTCCTAACCCCGTCCGATCGGCCTCGACCCCTGCCTGGGCCCCGACCGACAGTTCATCCCGCACCTGGGGCGGGTGGTACTGGAGGGTGCGTTAATGAGGGGTGAACAAAGATACCCTTTAGGGCCCCTTTTGGGCCCTTGCTGGCCCAGAAGGACCCCTTCAGGGTCATTTCCTGCACCCTCCGTTGAGGTCACCCTCCATCGCGGCATCGATCGTTCAAAATTGAATTCAGTCGGGTCCAGTGGCATCACCGTCCATCGGTGCTTCCGCGTCGCAGAACTCAATCTTGAACGCATTCGCCAGCGTAGCCGGCGCGCCAACGCCGCATGAACCCACAATGGGACGCAGGCCAGAAGAACGCCCCTCGAGAACATGAGGCCCGACGTCGGCCAAAACCCACAGCACGTCCAAGGCTACCCTCCCCAGGACACACGCGAGAACCTCCGAGAAGCACGAAGAACATCGGGGCACCCTCCCCGAAGCGGCCTCGATCCCCTGCTCTCGGTCCGACTGTGCCGTATACCACCCGTCCGAGCAGCCGCTCCCTGGGGACTGTACACCGTGCCACCCGCCCGGCCCCGCGGGCCCGGGGGGTGCCGGCCCCGGCGGCCGAGCCCCGCCGGGAGCCTCCCGCCGCGACCTGCGCCCGCGGCGCACGAGGGGTGTCTGGCAGCCCTGCAGGGCTCCCGCGGGGCAGCCATTGGGGCCCCCCCGGCGCCGTCTCCGGGCCCGTCCTGGGCCGTCGGGGCCCTCTGTTGAGGCCACGTCGGGGCTCTCCTCGGCCGCCTCGGGGCCCTCCCGAGGCGGCGAGCGGGGGGGGGAAGCGAAAGGGAAAAGGCCTCCTGCCGAAGGCGGCGTGAACTTCGCAGAAGGCCGGGGGACGTCCGAGCCTTCTGGGCAGGCCTTTTCCTTCTCACTTCCCCCCCCAGAGCTCGCCGCCGAGTGGGGTGGCGCACCACGGCGGTCTCTGCGCGCGGAGGCCTAGGCAGCTACAAAGCACACGCGCGGCAAGAATTCCGGCACTCACAGATATCGGGGCCATCTGCTTCGTCGACCCCCAGGGCCATGGGGGGGATATCACCGTCTTCCGCAGGGCACCTGCTGGCAGGCCGCTCTCTCACTCGGCGTGCCTTCGGTCAGGGATCTTGCTCCTGGCGCGTCGTGGCGGCGGCCCCGGAAGGCACACGCTCTACGCGCGCTGTGCAAATTTATGGCGGGCCGCTGCTCTCTGCGGGGCGGGAGGGTGGGAGAGGCTCGGGGCGTTGACGCTGGGACAATCAGGAGAGTCCAGGATCGAATCGATGAGTCGAATCGGCGATCGAAATGAATCGGGTCGGCGGAAATCGGCAGCCAAGTCGGGAGGAGTCGAATCGGCGGAAATCGGCAGAGTAGTAATGCCTCACTGTGGAATCGGAATCCAAATCGGAATCCAACGTCAAATCGAATCGACATAGGAATCCATCGAAATCGAATCGAATCGGAGGAATCGATACGAGCCCTGGGACAATGGGGCGTGGATGGCGTGTTGCGCCGGCGCGGGGTGGGCCAGACCCGGCGGCACGACGCGGTAAGCCAACGTTCCTGACCGTACTGTCGCGAAGCCTCGGCGCTATCCGGGGGATGTAGGGACCGAAGCTGTGCCCGAACACCTGCCCGAATGTGACCGAAACTGCCCCCCTAATGCTCCGAGCGCGCCCCAGCGTGACCGAACTGTCTGGCTCACACTTCACACCAGGGCCACGACGACCGCGGCGGCATCGGTACCTTTCTTCCTCCCCTGACGATCGTGCACGCAAAAAAAAAAATGGGCAGGGGGCCTCCGCGAGCCCCAGTTCCACAACCTGGCGCGCGTAGCCAGACGTGCCCCGCACGATGCCCGCCACCACGTTCGAGACGGGCTGCGCCTCGCCGCTGCCGATGCCGCCGACAACGACGGCGACAACCGTCTCCAGCAGGATTGGTCCTGTCCCTCCTGGCTCCGGCTGCAGCTGCCAATCCTGCTCTTCCGTGCCCCCTTCGTTCTTTGCTTCTCGGCGCGTTCTTTCCGTATACTGTCGGGGCCTCCTTATTCAACTCCTCCTAAACATCACCATGACAATCATCACACGCCCCATCACCACCATCACCACCACCATCACCACCGCCATCGTCCACAACCATCACTATCAACATAAATATCACCATCACCAGTACCATGACACCATGACCGTTACCACCCGCATCCTCATCCTCATCCTCATCCTCATCCTCATCCTCCTCATCATCATCATCAGCATCATTATCATCATCATCATCATCATCATCATCATCATCATCATCACCACTACCACCATCATCATCGTCGCAGGCGTCGCCATCATTCACACAACCACCACCACCACCATCACCATCACTACCATCGCCACAACCATCACCATCACCGCCACCGTTACCATCATCGCCACGCCCTCCCCGTTGCTCATCCTCCCTTCCCCTCCTCCTCCTCCTCCTCCTCCTCCGTTCTCCTCCTCCTCCTCCTCCTCGCGGATCGCGTTTCCGCTCGCCCTCCCTGCGCGCCACCCCTTTAGTTCGAACGAGCCCGTTGCCCATCCCCTCGCTCCACCCCGCGCATCGCTCCCCTCCGCTGCCAGCTCCTGGCCCCGCACCGCTGCCCGGGCCGCGGAAGGCCGGGGGCGCCGAGGGTGGGGCGCCTCGTACAGCGGCCGCAGCGCGGCGGCGTGGAAGCCGGGCTCCTGGCAAGATCGGTCGGCATCGTCGCTCTCGTAGTCGTCGACGGCGACGGCGTGGGAGGCTGCTGGGAGAAGCAGGCGCCACAACGCTGTTATGTTTCTTCTCATAAGTAGTAGTATGATTCGTGTCCTTATAATTGATAATAATATTGCTACTACTGCTAAATTTAGTAGTACGGATAGTACTATTATTTTGATGGGTATGAGTGCAATCGCAGTAGTAGTAGTAGTAGTAGTAGTAGTAGCAGCAGTAGTAGTAGTAGTAGTAGTAGTAGTAGTAGTAGTAGTAGCAGAGGTAGTAGTAGTAGTAGTAGTGGTAGTAAACGTAGTAGTCGTAGTAGTAGTAGTAGTAGTAGTAGTAGTCGTCGTCGTCGTAGTCGTCGTAGTCGTAGTAGTAGTAGTAGTAGTAGTAGTAGCAGTAGTAGTAGTAGTAGTAGTAGTAGTAGTAGTAGTAGTATTAGTCGTAGTATTATTATTATTAGTAGTAGTAATAGTAGTAGTAGTAGTTGTTGTTGTTGTAGTGGTAGTAGTAGTAGTAGTAGTACTAATACTAGTAGTAGTAGTAGTAGTAGTAGTAGTAGTAGTAGTAGTAGTAATAGTAGTAGTAGTAGTAGTAGTAGTCGTCGTCGTCGTCGTACTTGTTGTAGTGGTAGTAGTCGTAGTAGTACTACTAGTAGTATTATTATTAGTAGTAGTAGTAGTGGTAACAGTAATAGTAGTAGTAGTAGTAGTAGTAGTAGTAGTAGTAGTAGTAGTAGTCGTAGTCGTAGTAGTAGTAGTAGTAGCAGTAGTATTCTTAGTACTAGTGCTAGTACTAATCCTAGTACTAATGCTAGTAGTATCAGTGGCAGTAGCAGTCGTAGTAGAAGTAGTAGTAGTAATGAATGCAGTCGAAGTAGTAGTTGTCGTCGTAGTAGTAGTAGTAGTAGTGGTAGTCGTCGTAGTCGTAACAATAGTAGTAGTAGTAGTAGTAGTAGTAGTAGTAGTAGTAGTAGTAGTAGTAGTAGCCGTCGTAGTAGTAGTAGTAGTAGTAGTGGAATTAGTAGTAGTAATCGGGATATTAGTAGTATTAGTAGCAGTCTTAGAAGCAGGAGTTGCAGTAGCAGTAGGAGTTGCAGTAGTAGTAGTAGTAGTAGTAGTAGGAGTAGGAGTAGTAGTAGTAGTAGTAGTAGTAGTAGTCGTAGTAGTAGTAGTAGTAGTAGTAGGAGTAGGAGTAGTAGTAGTAGTAGTAGTAGTTGTAGTAGTAGTAGTAGCAGTAACAGTAGTAGTTGTTGTAGTAGTAGTTGCAGTAGTAGTAGCGGTAGTAGTAGTAGTAGTAGTAGTAGTAGTAGTGGTAGTCGTCGTAGTCGTAACAATAGTAGTAGAAGTAGTAGTAGTAGTGGTACCAGTAGTAGTAGTAGTAGTAGTAGTAGTAGTCGTAGTCGTCGTAGTAGTAGTAGTAGCAGTCGTATTCTTAGTACTAGTGCTAGTACTAATCCTAGTACTAATGCTAGTAGTATCAGTGGCAGTAGCAGTCGTAGTAGAAGTAGT